ATTCATTAGCTATTTCAGGAAGTATGCGTCGTATAACATAATGGGTTTTACCTGTAGATGAGGCTTAATGAGACAGGTCGATTGGTATTATAAAAGTTCAGTAGCGGAAAAGTGCAGATAATCGGTTTTGGCACTAAGGGGACGATTTACTAACTAATAAACTTCTCGCTTTCTAAACGCGCTTTGTTCGTTATTTTGAAAATGTACATATTAATAATTATAATAAGTAATAATAACTAATAGGAGTAACAATTAATTAATTCTTCATTAATAATACTTATTAAAAAATATGTACAAAAATATTTACAAAGAATAAGGAAATTTATTTAAATTCAAAATACCCTTCTACTACAAAGGCGATGTTCTTGGCTGTATCATTTCGGTGGTAATTTTTTTACCATTTCGGTAGACAATTTTCATTTCAGTGGACTGCCGAAAACTTATCCCTAAATATTTCAGTAAGTGGTGATTGTTGAATTTGACCCGTAGGATCGTTTAAAACTGGAAAAAAAAACCATTAACAATATATTTTATTTTTTTATTTTGCACCTTTAATTGCATTTTGTGCAAAAACTATGGGAGATACGCGAAAATATGTTGATATCTTTTTTGTAGGATATTAATTTTTCTACAACTTTGTACTAGTAGTCGGAGAGCCCACTGCGAAATATCTACCCGAATCGGACTTACGGACAAATCGTGTACGATTCGATGGGGAATGTGGTCGTGATAGGGTTGCCGGACATGATAAACCCTGTATCTTGACCGAAGCGTCGAAAAAAGGGCCACTTCCGGTCAATTTTTCGGGAGCCTGCTACCCGGATAAAACTTACAATCAAAATTAGTGCCAATCGATAGGGGATGTTGAGCACTTTAAGGAAAAATCGGGTTGCCACCCCCCACCCTGTCAGGGGTTGCGGCAGCCACCCTTAAGTGTGGCCCATTTTCCTATTGCACTACCCGGATCGAACTTACGATTTTTTTTTTTCCAAATCGAAGCTTGAACTTTCCCCAACACGAAAAAATAGGGTTGCCACTTCTGACCTTGACCAGAACAGCCGTCAGCCAGCCCCGAGTTACCCAATTTCGAGGTTCCAATTTCGATCGCAATTTAACTACCCGCATCGAACTTACGATTTCTTTTTTTTTTAAATCGAAGCTTGAATTTCCCCGAACACAAAAAAACGAGGTTGCCAACTTTGGCCTTGACTGAAAATTTTTCTGCCAGTGAATTATGGCGTCAATATTAATTTATTTTATTTTGGAGCAGATCGAAGCGTTGAGATCGTGGCAACAGTGTAACGACAGCAGCTGCTACGTCCTCATGTATTATGGGGTCTTTTCAAAATTCCCAGGTAGAAGGGATCGCGGTGAAAAGAGCAGGCGGAAAGAGATTTCAAACAATCACATCGAACTGCCCTGAAACGTTAAATCGATTGAAGGAATCTGCAGAAAAGTTGGAAGACACGCGATTGCTGAATAAATTATTAGGTCGCAATGTTTTGAATTATCACAAAATTTGCAAACTGAATTTTTACAAATCGTGTGAAAAATCGGTTCAGGACGATCAAGATGCAGGGATTTGGCATGGAACAAGACAAATTCACAATACCGCTTTTGAAGTCTTTTCCATTTTCATCCAGGAAGAAATTGTTAAGAAAGAAAAAGTCTTCTACCTCCAAGATTTAAACATCAAATATAAAAATTTGCTACTGGAAATATCCGATGGGAAATATAACAGCGATTTCTTTTCGAATTATAAAATGAAATAAAAAAAAAAAAAAAACTGATTTTCTAATGTTTTTTCATGATTCGTTTCGATCTGCTCCAAAATAAAATAAATTAATATTGACGCCATAATTCACTGGCAGAAAAATTTTCAGTCAAGGCCAAAGTTGGCAACCTCGTTTTTTTGTGTTCGGGGAAATTCAAGCTTCGATTTAAAAAAAAAAGAAATCGTAAGTTCGATGCGGGTAGTTAAATTGCGATCGAAATTGGAACCTCGAAATTGGGTAACTCGGGGCTGGCTGACGGCTGTTCTGGTCAAGGTCAGAAGTGGCAACCCTATTTTTTCGTGTTGGGGAAAGTTCAAGCTTCGATTTGGAAAAAAAACATCGTAAGTTCGATCCGGGTAGTGCAATAGGAAAATGGGCCACACTTAAGGGTGGCTGCCGCAACCCCTGACAGGGTGGGGGGTGGCAACCCGATTTTTCCTTAAAGTGCTCAACATCCCCTATCGATTGGCACTAATTTTGATTGTAAGTTTTATCCGGGTAGCAGGCTCCCGAAAAATTGACCGGAAGTGGCCCTTTTTTCGACCCTTCGGTCAAGATACAGGGTTTATCATGTCCGGCAACCCTATCACGACCACATTCCCCATCGAATCGTACACGATTTGTCCGTAAGTCCGATTCGGGTAGATATTTCGCAGTAGGCTCTTGGACTATAGGAACTTTTTCTATTTTTCCAGCCAGTCGCAAGATATTGACGAAAAACTCGTTTTTGCACCATTTCGCATTTTTTTTCACCCTTTGCCGTCAATGCAGCACCCTGCAATTTTAGTATATTAATCTACCAACCCTTGCGGAAATTTTCGCGTTAGTTGCAGGTGATCAACTCAAAATGGCAAAGTTAAGCCTTCATTGACTGGACAATTTATACTATGTAGTATATTGTTGCTTGTTAGCGCCTAACACGTCCTCGCACAGGCCCTGCCAGAATACCAGCGCTGATACAGTGAGCGAGTATTCTCCCACTGTATCAGCATAAGCGGAGGCAGGGTCCTGATATGCCTTAGTTTAATGTTGTTATTTTTTGTTATTCTTTTACTTTCTGTTTATATTTATAGCTTTTTTATTGTGTAAGATGGCCAATAGAGGTTTTTTTCATTTCATTTCATAAAGGCTAAAGTTTGTGAGTGTGTATGTTTGTTACCTCTTCACGTCTAAACGGCTGGAGCGATTTTAATCAAATTTGGTATGGAGTTAGCTGACACCCTGGATTAACACATAAGCTACGTATTACTGTGGGAAAATATCCCTAATAAAGCGAGTAACACCGCGGGGCACAGCTAGTAAGTTATAAATAGAGTAGGTTTTAAAATAATATCATTAATATCGCTTATGTAAAAGCACCAACAATCCGACAGGCAACAACATATAATTTGGTCATGAAAGATAAACACGCGCACATTAATTACGTTAACATAAATAAATAATTAATCACATTTCAGATTCGCAAGCGATAAAAATGTACCAAGAAATGAACACACATGCCAAAGGCACCATATTATCCAAGAACCGAAATTCTTTTTTTATGTGGTATCAGCAACTTGTGGCAACTTAAGATATGTTTTATGCTATGCAATTTAATGTCTTTAATGAATTGATTATTTAGATTTGCATTGCAAGATGCTGGTTCTTTCTTTATGATAAAAAAATATGCAATATTGCATATATAAAATCAAGTTTACGTCGTTCTTTATCAGTCATGTCTTATTACGAACTGGTGCCTTTTAATGATAACGCAATGGTAAAGCAACGTAAATGACTGCAGGCTTGTTTTGTTGTTTTAAACTTTCATGGTCACTTACAAGAAATTTATTATGTTTTATTTAGGGGATTGACGAGCTCGATGGCAAGTTAAGCAACCTTCGCAGTGGTCGGTCATTGGATGGGTGACCAAAAAAAACCATATGTAAAATCAAGTTTACGTTGTTCTTATCAGTCATGAACCGGTGCCTTTCGATGAATAGTTGTTTCTGGCGTAGGTCACGATATTGATAATGGTAAAGCAATGTAAAAATGGATGCAGTTTTGTTTTGTTGTTTTAAACTTTCATGGTTACTTACAAGAAGCTTATATGTTTTACTAGCTGACCCAGCGAAGTTCGTATCACCATAAAAATATGGGTGGTAGAGGGGTGAAAATTAAGGGTTGTTTTGTGTTTTTAATATTACGATACATATTTAACGTAGATTTTTTTTCTTCAGACGATTTAATAATTATTTTGAACACAAAATCGGTTATTGTGATTAAACCATGATAGCTAGATATATGTTCTCGCGGACTTTTTTGTAGGTCTTAATGGGATCTACAAACCCGTAGTACATCATTTCGATCTATTGTCAATAGTTTTTGCAGCGCACGCAAAAATAGGTTTTCGATTTTACACCTTGTGTTACAAAATAGCAATTTTATTACGGATCCATAATTTTGAAAAAAAAAAATATAATATGGCCTATAGCCTTTCTCGATAAATGGACTACCCAACACTGAAAGAATCATTCAAATCGGACCAGTAGTTCCAGAGATTAACGCGTTCAAACAAACAAACTCTGCAGCTTTATAATATTAGTATAGATTTAGAGGATTGCTGTAGGTGCTTTGCTGTCGGCAACGGTTGCCGCGACCATACACTCCCGGCGTGCATTGGGGGTACTGCGGTCCTCAGAATGTACGCCGGGTGACCGGTGCAGGAGTATTGTCTGGTTTTTAGTGGCCCTGTTCAGGGCGTTAGGTAGGGCTCTGCTGATTTCACCCGGCCTAAGGGCTGCCTGTAATGAGCAGGGAGGAGTCCCACATACCTTCCTCTCGCTCCCCCGGTGGTTGAAGGAAGGCATTAAGGCATTTCCAAGACAAAAAAAAGCAAGCAAGCGCCATGATCACGCAGTAATTTCTCGCTAAAAAGGCAGGTAAGTTGTATCAATCTCATTTTTTTTTTATTCCAACAATCAGACCAATTAGCCTAGCCTCAAAGTAAGCACTGTAAGGCTTGTGTTACAGGTTACTAGGGTAACGGATAGAATACATATACTCTACATATATAAGTATATTTAAATAGAAATACATATTAAACATCCATGACTTTAGTACAAATGCTCGTATTCATCACACAAACATCTGTCCCCACCGGGATATCCAACCCGGGATCTCTCGAGTCGGCGACACCATGAAACACAGCGTACAAAAAACTCGGCCACGGCATTTTCTAAAGCTTACCTATTAATATAAGTGGTATGTCAACTAGGATGGTCCATAGCCTGCTGTGTTTTCTAGTCGCCCCTGCCTCCTGACTCTCCAAGTCTCGCCTCTGTCAAAGATAAAAAGATTCATGGTAATTGCTGAAATGCATAATAAATAATAAATGCTAAATTCCTATGCGACCATGTGGTAATAAAAACGTTTTCTTGAACAAATCTTTAAAGAAGACCTAAAGAAAAGTTTACTAGAAAAAAAAAAACACGCGGACCAGGCAGCGGACGGGTCACAGGGGACATGACCAAAATCTAAGGTCAAATTTAAAAGTCTCAAAAATTTGCCAAATAATAAAAGGAAATTTCTAGCTATCTCCTAACAGTGATAAATTTGTAGTTGGCTGACATCTAGTGGTGTTTTTGTGAACTACGTACGATGGCCAAAATAACTTGTAAATGACATCTAGTACTAGTTTAGAAACAAGAAACCGAACTACGTAGTTTTAGTAATCAAAACCTACAGGGTACTTCCTGGGAACTTAGAATCTTGAAATTTGGTACAAAGTAACGTCTTATAGTACAGATAAAGGAAAAATTGCGGAAACTGCAAATTTTTAATTACATCAGTTAATAAAAAATGTTTTTGAAAATTCAGGGAACCCTCGGTGCGCGAGTTTGACTCGGACTTGGCCGGTTTTTTTTTGTTAGTGTAGTGAGTGACCCCCTTCAAAATTTCAGGCTGCGACCGCGCCTGATTAGTAACACCACTTATGATTCGAAGTAATAAAAAACGACTCATAAGCACTGCCGGATTTAGGGGAGAGCAACCGGGGCGAAAGCCCCGGGGCCTCCACAAACGGGGGGCCCCCACAATAGAGATTTGGAAAAAAAATGTTCAAATTCCAACTAGTAAACATCTTTTCCTTTGATATTATTTTTTTGCTCTTTTACCTTTACCTACAGCCTACAGTACTTTGTACATCTAACATACATGAATATTTGATTATATTAATCTTAAATAACAGAAATCATAGATCTATATTTGTTCACTCCAATCAGACAATCAGTGAAACATCAAAATCTCAAATGGCCCTGATAAGCACTTCCAATTCACTACCCATCTTGAGGGAGGCCCAGGGGCCTCCACAGCAGCTTAAGAAATAACAACATTTCGATGGGTTAACAAGAATTCAAATCCTAAGTGGCCCGGGGCCTCCACAATCCTAAATCCGGCCCTGCTCATAAGGAAAGACGTCCTATAAAGAGAATCGGGATGATGACGGGATACAGTAAACGAAATCCTATTTAGTCCGTCAGTTAGATGATCAAAAAACAAAGGACACGTATTTTTTCTTTGGGTAGTCAACCAAAAAATGATAAAGTTAAAGCGCGTCAAAGTTTGGGAGTAGGCTAGGTAGGCTCGTGACGTCACTTTTAAGTGAAAATTGTACGAAAACGTGACGTCATGCGACTTTTCAAATCAATATATCTCTGCAATGTTTATATTATGTGAAAAAAGAAAAAATACGTGTCCAATATTTTTTGATAATCTACCTGATAAACGAAGAAAAAAAATAGTCATTATCCCTATGTCCTTACTGAAGGACAAAACGGTAAAAACAACCTTATTCTAAATTTGCAGCGTGCTACTATTCTTTTTTGGCAATTTTATTCAGTAAAAACACTTTTCACCCCTTTTCAACCCTTTCCGTACACCCCAGAACGCTGCAAAATCACACGATAAGTTATTTTAACTTCTTTAAAAACCCCTTACACTTTCAGCGAGTTACTAATTACTTACGGGTTTAAGACTTTAATGACTGGCCTATAAAGAACAGGGGCAAGATTAACCTCCAAAAATTTCATATCTAAAAGTATTGTTTATTCACACGCTATGTTTTTTATTAGTTATGATTTTATTTATTTTTTAAGCATTTAACTGCTAGATGTTTAAATCTAAAGAAAATTTTACTAGAAAGAAGAAGTAACTTGAAAAAGTATTCATTTGACATTGTGGGTTGCCTACAATGCGAAGAGATGGCGCTGCCTTGCAGCTTAAAGCCTAGGAAAATTTCGACGCGGCTAATAGGGCCGTGGTAGCATAATGGTCGCCCGGATAGCGAAGGATGCGGGTTCGAGTCCCGTCCGCTGCCTGCTTCGTGTGGATTTTTTTCTAGTAAAATTTTCTTTAGATTTTTTATTAGTGTCAAAGTTCAATCGTTACATTTCAACATGCCCTTAAGTTTCAAGGTTCCGCCCTTGAAACTGGAGGCCTAACACCAAATCCTTGGTAAAGTGAAACTTGGATCGTTATCATCGATTTGTGTAAGGTCACCGTGACCATCAACGAGTGCCCTTCGCTGTGGTACCACATGAGCAAAGAAGTAACAGAGATACAGACTGTTGCGCTTGTGTTAGTTACCAACTTTTTTTTTATGTTATATGTGGCATACGAGCAGACGGCTCACCTGATGGTAAGTGATCACCGTCACCCATGGACACTTGCAACACCAGGAGTATCACAAATGCGATGCCGGCCTTTAAGGAAGGAGTACGCTCTTTTTTGAAGGTTTTTGGGTCGTATTGGTCCGGAAACACCGCTGTATGAAATATGTAGTTTCAAAGCTGTAACCTTTAAAAATATAGTAGATGACAAAAAGAGTGTATGTGGTTAGATATTAAATATTATTTTTAAGAAACATTTTAGTGGCAAAAGTCGGCTTTACGCAAAATATAGTAGTTTGGCTTAATATATATATTTTTTCAGGATTATAGTATTAGACACTAACGCACTTGAATATTGTTTTTCTATTTTCTATCCTTTTACTAATCTGCCGGCGGACACCATGCAATACTGCAGATTAATATTTTTTCGTCATCAGAAACGTTACATGTACCTTCCACTAGCTCTTATTCAAAGTGCAGTACCATTAGCACGAACCATTTAGCATTATCGAATTCATAACGTTTGCTAGTCCGAAATGCCATTGTCAAATTTTGTATGGAAACTTGACGGTACATAGCCACAAAGTACGCAACGAGAAATAAAAATCAGTACACATTTGACAATGACATTTCGGACTCGCAAACGTTACGAATTCGATATTGGTTCGTGCTACTGGTGATTTGTACGCGGCCAAAAACCATGGCCGATTGTTGAAATTGGTTTTTGCTGTCCTAGACATACGACCCTATGTAAATGGCTCAGGTATGGTGGGAACTCAGATTACAGGGTGGGTGCACTTCACAAGGTGCAAGGTTCCTTATTAAGTTACTGCCGCACTCGAGTAATCCCAAAAACGCAAGTGCGGTCCTGCGTGGAATAGGTATTGCTCGCACCACTGGGATGGCTCCGCCAAGTACTTGCTCGATGCTTGCGACAGCGGCGCGCGATCCGCATCATAGGCGATGAGGAGGTGACTAAACACCTTGAGCCTCTTCAATTACGCCGTGACGTGGCATCACTCAGCGCGTTCTATCGTCTGTACCACGGCGTGTGTTTTAAGGAGTTATTCTCTCTTATCCCACCTTCCCCTTTCCTTCAGAGGACCACGCACGCTGGCCTACGTTGTCACCGTCTAACTGTGGCCACAATTCCAACGCGTACAAAGAAATTTGGTGACTCATTTCTTTGTCGCACTATCCGTAAATGGAATGCTCTGCCCGCTCACGTGTTCCCTCCCTCTAACAACCTGGGATCCTTTAAGAGGCGTGAAGAAGCAACATGCAGGCCGGCAGGGTGTGGCAGGTAGAACTGCTGTATCAGCTATCTTCGCGTCTAGACTTCACCTTCACTTAATATCAGGTGGGGTGGAGTCATTTGTCGGACCTATATATAAAAAATAAAATAAAAAAAACCGTTTTGAGCACTGGTGCTTGACGCGTATGCAGGGAAACGTTTCTATTGGTGGCGACGGAATAATCATAATCAAAATCATTTATTCAGTTTAGGCTGTTGTTACAAGCACTCATGAATGTCTAGAAGCTACGCCATCGGTTCGTACAGCGGCGGGTGACCTTCTACTGAGACTTGATTGCCAGTGCTTACACACACACACACACCGCTTTATCTCTATATAACTTATTTACTCATTTGCTGGTATAGACCTTCAGCCAGATCCTTGACCTTTCGTATGACACGGCAATCTATCTTCGTTCAAGCTCATATCTTTGGCGTCAAGCAGTCGGTTGGCTCAGCTCCCGTCGTCCTTGTATTATTCTTTTGTTTGATTCATTGGATTTCATTGGCTCATGTGAAAAAGTATTTGCATAGCTTCTTTTTCGTATTGTTAATAAACTTTTTCGTTTCTTAACAATACGTTGGTTTTTGCTAATAGCAGTGTGTTATCCCAAACTGTCATTATACACCATTAGTACATAGATAATTTGAAGTAATGGATCCTATTTTAATGTGCGGCGTATTGAGGCGGGTAATGATTTTGCTATCTGTCTCTGTTAGCTTTGCATGACGCATTATAAAAACAAACGATATAAATCACTCTATCATAAGACAATTTGATTATTTTCCGATTAGATAATATATTATACTAATGTTTGTCCACATCGAGAAAAGAGTAGTTATGCATTTAGGCTATTTTTTATGGTCAAATGATGAATATTTATTTAATTGGCAGACTAAATGGTGACGGGTCCTGTCGGAAATGGAAGTTCATAAGAACTATGCTTAGATATGGCTATGTTAAAATATCATTGTCATAGCCACATTTGGCATTCGTTGGCCCAGTTATTTTTCGGAAACAGCAGAATTTGTGAAAATATCAAATTAGATAAAAAACCACATGGTCCAAGCATCAGATGGAATATGAACCAGCATCTGCTATCCGAGCGGAAGATATGGGTTTGAGTCCCATCTGATGTCTGACAGGGTGGAATTTGTCTAGTAAAAAATAGTGTGCACGAACTACACATCTGAAGTGAAAGTTCTTATCTTAAACTAGTGGCCCGCCCTCACTTTGCTTCGGGGTAGAATTGATCAAAATCCTTTCTTAGCGGATGCCTACGTCATAACATCTACCTGCATGCCAAATTTCAGCCCAATCCGTCCAGTCACGGTATAATATTACCGTGGTCCAGTGGTTTGGGCTGTGCGTTGATAGATCACTATGTCAGTCAGTCACCTTTGAGTTTTATATATATAGATAAAATCTAACATTAGGCGGTGCATAAGGCATAGGGGTATGGAGTAGCGCACGCATCACTAGTACGTATGTATATATAAATTGTCGCGTGTGACGCTCGTAACGTTTCAGCCTTCGCCGAGTTACCCTCCAACTTTCATGCTCATCGGGTCGAGCTGCACTCGCCATTGGAGTGATGACCTCCGTGGCCGAGTGGTTTGTACGCCGGGTTTCATGATGTCGCCGACTCGAGAGGTCCGGGTTCAAATCCCGGTAGGGGGCAGATGTTTGTGTGATGAAAACGTGCATTTGTACTCCAGTTATGGATGTTTAATATGTATTTCTATATAAATATACTTATATATGTATAGTATATGTACTCTATCCGTTACCCTAGTATCCCATAACACAAGCCTTATAGTGCTTACTTTGGGGATAGGCTAATTGGTGTGAGTGTTGGAAATATTTAGTAATATTATTTATTGGATTTTTCCATTTACACCCCGTCCGAAATAAAAGTTTTAAAATGTGCGCGCGCACTGCTTTCTCTTTCTTATATCCCCCACTCAACTCCCGTTCGCCTCGCCCGAATACACTTTTGGTAACGCGTAACACATTCGCCAGCTTACCCCCCAAGTCAAGCGTGCGTAAAGAAGTTTCAGTACAAAAACTAAACCTTCATTAGTAGGCACTGATCTATATCCTTTCCAGAAAATGTTGATTAATTAGAAACTCATAATTTTAACATCGTTGAGCCCTAAGCTAAACCTTTTTATATAGTTTTGTGAAAAAAAAAACTAAACAATAGGAATTTGTTAAACACTAGCGGCCCGCCCTCGCTTCGCTTCGGTTTAGAGCTGAAGTGTAGACTACAGTTTTTGTTCTCAGGCTTGTATTATACACAATGACATTCATCTATGATTCTTCTTATACCTGCATGCAAAGTCTCAGCCCGATCGGTTTAAAATTGGCAAAGTTTCATATAAACTTTCATTCCCTATTTTATCCCCTTGGGGGTGGAATTGATCAAAATCCTTTCTTAGCGGATGCCTACGTCATAAAATCTACCTGCATGCCAAATTTCAGCCGATCCGCCCAGTGGTTTGGGCTGTGCGTTGATAGATCTCTATGCCAGTCAGTCACCTTTGAATTTTATATAAATAGATAATTTCTCTTAAAAATGATTTCATTCTCATTCTGGCTTTAAACACTATAATAAATAAATAAAATAACAAACCGAAGCCGTAGATAGAACCGGCATAGATCCATAATTGGAACAAATTTCCATGTTTTAACACTTAATTACACGACTAATTATTATTAATTTACTTATATTATGTTTTATGTTCACACGCATTGGCATAGCGAATGTCAACCGCAAACTAAACATTGTGAATACAGCAAGTTATCAGATAAGTGATAACAAGTTCGACATAATGATATGAATCATACACATACCTTTAAAATTATATGCGTAATTCTACTCAAAAATAGTTATGTGGTAGTCTGGTTCTCCAGCGCTATTTCCTTGATAAGTTAATGAATTATTCATTGACGATTATTGAGTACTATTAGGAACCTACTTTCCAAGAAATATCCTAAATCCTATCCTGATTAAACAAAAAGGACCCTGAGGAGCTTGATGGCTTGGTGGTTAGCGCATTCGGCTGCGATCAATCAATCAATCAATCATTTATTTATTTTTTCTCTCACATGAAAATAAAGTTCTTATAGTATACCACTTGTGGTTTACAATATGTTATAGCATTGTGAGAGACTGGTGCCTGAATTAGGTTTCAGTGAAACCTGTGACACAGGTCACCAGGACCCTCCCGCTGACTACATACATAATAAAAACAGGCTATGACGTGACTTGAGGCTTAAGTAATGTTAGGAATAATTTTAAAAACTTTATGCGATCGTTGAAGTTAAGCACCTTTCGCGGTGGTCTGTCATTGGATGGGTGACCAACGTTAAGCCGTTGGTTCCGGTTGCATCTGCAGTCGTTAGCACCCACTAATCCGCACTATGCCCGCGTGGTGGGTCATGGCTCAATCTCCCAATTTCATCCCTAGGGAAGGCCTGTGCCCCAGCAGTGGGGACATTAATAGGCTGATGATGATTACCACAAGAAAGCAAGACTTAAGTTCAACACGAGTTTGAGAAAGAAATGTTTGCGTGCACGGACCACACATCTGAAGTGAAACTTCTTTTCTTAAATAACCTTACATTATGCGGTGCATAAGGCATAGGGAGCAGCACATGCATCATTCAAATAAATATATTCGCGTTTAGCCTTCACCGAATTACCCTGCAACTTTCATGCTCGTCAGGAAGAGCTGCGTACGCATCCCAGACACACTCATATCTACTATATAAAAATAAGTCGGGTTTTCCTTCCTGACGCTATAACTCCAGAACGCACGAACCGATTTCCACGGTTTTGCATTCGTTGGAAAGGTCTCGGGCTCCGTGAGGTTTATAGCAAAGAAAATTCAGGAAAAATTTAAAAAAAAACTTCTTTTAATCACCAAACGAAATGTTACATAAAACGAAGCCATCTATCTGGTGGCGAAACGGAGTTCGCCGGGTTTGCTAGTCTACTATATAAAAATAAGTCGGGTTTTCCTTCCTGACGCTATAACTCCAGAACGCACGAACCGATTTCCACGGTTTTGCATTCGTTGGAAAGGTCTCGGGCTCCGTGAGGTTTATAGCAAAGAAAATTCAGGAAAAATTTAAAAAAAAATCGTTTTCTTTTAATCACAAAACGAAATGTTACATAAATCTGGTGGCGAAACGGAGTTCGCTGGGTTTGCTAGTATATATATAGTCGTGTGACGCGTGCCCCCCCGACACAGAGAGGTTCGATTCCTCTCAGTCCCCTCCCGTTTCAAGTGCACATCTGAGTGCACTTGTCCTCTAAGCGCATTTTGCGTTATTTTAAACTATGCACTAGTTTAAACTAACGCAGCGCCGCATCATCCCCCTCTCGGGGGGTGATCGCTTCAGATGAAGCTTGTAAGGCCCTTCTGGCCATAAGCATGAATAAAGGGTGTTTTTTAGTCAGTAGGAGTCTGACATAACCTTACAGCCGGCTGTAGGGTATCCATGAGGATTTCTCACCGTCTCCCCCGCCTGGGAGGAAACAAAAAAAAAAAAAAGCTAGTGACGCATTTCCATTTCGTCTTTTCCATAGGATTTCCCATTTAGCCCGTCGGAAAGGAAGTTACACTTAAAATATCATAAAAAATTGCCTAAACAAGAATTGAATCAGTGTCACACTTTTATGTAGTAAGACCGTAATAGTTCTTGGTAGATATAAAACATAAAATGAATATTTTATATAAAATAAAATAAAATAGATATTATCATGCATAAATTAAAAATTTCATCAATATAATAGCAATAAGAAAAAATACTTAACATTCAAATATTTATTTAATAAGGTGTAATTACCCAACATAAGCTGAATTAAAGGTTTGAAACTGTAAACAAAGAATGAAGTAGGATATTTTTTGTAGTGTTCTTTATGACAAGGTTTATACGAAGGAATTTGCTTAAAATCCCCAGATTCAGAAATCGGTGTGGTAAGTATGTTTGTATTGAGGTGACTGCTATTTTATATTAATAATTGAACCTATGAAAATTTAGGCGCCGCTTTTCATTTATAGTTTAATTTGACTATAGGTCAAATAGGGTATTTGACAAGTTTCAGAAAACGTCCTCACGTTATTGATTAATGTTCATGGAGTCCGTAAAAAGGGATAATGGATATTCATCATTCTGTTGTGTATTTCAGTAAAAATAACCAAATCAAAAACTCCATTTTCAAGTTGCCGCGAAATCGTTTTTCTGGACAATATGGCGTCTTACTAGTGTGTGACGTTACACGACTGTTATTAAAACGTCAAACGATACAATGTAACGTCAATTTAACCGGAAGTTTATTGGCATGTGACGTCATTTTAGGCTCCGCCAATCCCAAGCGTTTTGGGTCACGTGTCAATAGATAAGAAAACTATTATCTTTTTCGTGATTTTTTAGTAAAATTATAAATAATTTTTTTAAATCTAAAGAAAATATAACTAGAAAAAATTCCACGCGGACCAGGCAGCAGACGGGACTCGAACCCGCACCCTTCGCAATCCGGGCGAATGCACTGACCAATTATGCTACCGCGGCCCTCACGGACCGCGTCGAAATTCCTTCTAGCTATTCTTAAGCTGCAAGGCAGCGCCATCTCTTCGCATTATAGGTAAACCCACAATGTCAAATGAATACTTTTACAAGTATTAAACATTTGAAAGAAGAAATAGCAATTATAGTTATAATTTTTTTATTATTTTTAAAGCATGTAACTGCTTGATGTTTAAATCTAAAGAAAATATAACTAGAAAAAATTCCACGCGGACCAGGCAGCAGACGGGACTCGAACCCGCACCCTTCGCAATCCGGGCGAATGCACTGACCAATTATGCTACCGCGGCCCTCACGGACCGCGTCGAAATTCCTTCTAGCTATTCTTAAGCTGCAAGGCAGCGCCATCTCTTCGCATTATAGGTAAACCCACAATGTCAAATGAATACTTTTACAAGTATTAAACATTTGAAAGAAGAAATAGCAATTATAGTTATAATTTTTTTATTATTTTTAAAGCATGTAACTGCTTGATGTTTAAATCTAAAGAAAATATAACTAGAAAAAATTCCACGCGGACCAGGCAGCAGACGGGACTCGAACCCGCACCCTTCGCAATCCGGTTACATGCTTTAAAAATAATAAAAAAATTATAACTATAATTGCTATTTCTTCTTTCAAATGTTTAATACTTGTAAAAGTATTCATTTGACATTGTGGGTTTACCTATAATGCGAAGAGATGGCGCTGCCTTGCAGCTTAAGAATAGCTAGAAGGAATTTCGACGCGGTCCGTGAGGGCCGCGGTAGCATAATTGGTCAGTGCATTCGCCCGGATTGCGAAGGGTGCGGGTTCGAGTCCCGTCTGCTGCCTGGTCCGCGTGGAATTTTTTCTAGTTATATTTTCTTTAGATTTAAACATCAAGCAGTTACATGCTTTAAAAATAATAAAAAAAAATTATAACTATAATTGCTATTTCTTCTTTCAAATGTTTAATACTTGTAAAAGTATTCATTTGACATTGTGGGTTTACCTATAATGCGAAGAGATGGCGCTGCCTTGCAGCTTAAGAATAGCTAGAAGGAATTTCGACGCGGTCCGTGAGGGCCGCGGTAGCATAATTGGTCAGTGCATTCGCCCGGATTGCGAAGGGTGCGGGTTTGAGTCCCGTCTGCTGCCTGGTCCGCGTGGAATTTTTTCTAGTTATATTTTCTTTAGATTTAAACATCAAGCAGTTACATGCTTTAAAAATAATAAAAAAATTATAACTATAATTGCTATTTCTTCTTTCAAATGTTTAATACTTGTAAAAGTATTCATTTGACATTGTGGGTTTACCTATAATGCGAAGAGATGGCGCTGCCTTGCAGCTTAAGAATAGCTAGAAGGAATTTCGACGCGGTCCGTGAGGGCCGCGGTAGCATAATTGGTCAGTGCATTCGCCCGGATTGCGAAGGGTGCGGGTTCGAGTCCCGTCTGCTGCCTGGTCCGCGTGGAATTTTTTCTAGTTATATTTTCTTTAGATTTAAACATCAAGCAGTTACATGCTTTAAAAATAATAAAAAAAAAAAATTATAAATAATTTTTTTGTAAAAATAGTAAAATCCCCTGCCAATAATCATTCTAAACACAGATGCTAACAATTGGCACTTTATTTTTAATACTGTCAAATACCCTATTATAGAAAAAGAAGTCATTAGTTAGTGTGCATTTGACGTGACATCAACAAAAGTCAAATTTAAGTCTAGATGAAACAACGCGGCCTAAATCATTATAAACGCAACTTTGCTCAATGTCAAACACATGTTATAATAATATAGTTTAAACATCCTTGCTTAAAGTGATCTCTAGACAACTTAGCACTTATCTAATCTATTAATCACCTACTTATAACAATTTTGCTATCATAAATTCTTTATCTCATGTATATTTAATGATTTTGAGAACAATGAAAACAAAAACATAGCATATTGCGCAAAATTATACTCATGTAGGTTTGTACCTCACCCCTCTGGTACCTGGTCGGATTGTGGCGTCTATGGGTGCGGCCAGAGTGCACTCAGATTCAGATTCAGATTCAGATTCTGAAAACAAGCGCGAGAAATAAACAGTGTAGTCTAAGCAGGTTGCCTGCTTTTTCTCGCGCTTTGTTTTCTGAGTCTGAATCTGAATCTGAATCAGGAGTGCACTCTGGCCGTACCCTTCGACTACACTGTTTATTTCTCGCGCTTGTTTTCAGAATCTGAATCTGAA